AAGCTCGCCAAAATCGCGGATCGCATGTACGAGAGGTCAACACCTCAATCCGTTTTTCGCATCGAATTGTGAACCATTGGAACTCCCTACCGGAACATGTCGTATCAGCGCCATCCGTTGATTCATTCAAGGCGAGATTGGACCTCCTGTATGAAATAAATCGAAAGGATTAACACAGGCATATAGCCTACTATCCTAAATAAATTGTAAACTGTAAACTGTTGCTTCCACTAGCAGAATACTAGGCACTCACGACAGGATACAGACTCTAGGACACAAAGTCGACACCTTACTGAGTCAGTTAACAATACTGACCACACGCACACAACCAAGTCGTTCTAGAAGCTCGTCTCGTCGATGTCTCTCTCGGTCACCTAGCACGTCACAAAATCACGATAATATTTGCTGGTGCCACCGTAGTTACGGAAGCAATGCACGACGGTGTCGTTCACCTTGCAACTTTCAGGCTAAACCAAAAGATATATCGTCATGTATGAAAACTTCTACTGTCGGCAATCTACGATCTAGCAGTCGTTTGTTTTATGTAACAGATAGAAATACCGGTACTACATTCTTAGTCGACCAAGGAGCAGAGGTTAGTGTTCTCCCTCCGTCTACGCAGGAACGTCAACATCCTGACCCCGCAGTTACGCTCCAAGCCGTTAATAAGTCTAATATTGTTACATATGGAAGTAAACGAATGACTTTGGTCTGCAGAATACCTACACTTGGTCTTTCATCATTGCAGACGTTCCATCCCCAATCCTCGGTATCGATTTTCTACAGCAACACAAACTGCTAGTTGATCCGATAAGCCCTAAGCTAATAGACTCGCTCAATAAAACGTACATCGCTGGTACGATTAGCCGTGCATCATCGTTGAACTTGATGGTCACACGCACACCAGCATCTCCATATACCGACTCGGTCAATCAGTTTCCTGACCTTCTACAACCCTCTTTCCGAGCAACAGACCATAAAGCTCTAACGAAAGCCTTATCAGCAAAACAGGATAACTACTCTCCGCGCGAACTACGACATCTCGAGTTTATATCCCAGTTCACCTCCGATCTGCGACACGTAAAGGGTAAAAACAATGAAGTGGCAGACGCTTTATCACGTATGCACATTGACAGCATTGTATGCCCAGACATCGACTACGAATATCTCTCAAACTTACAACGAGATGACGCCGAACTAAAAAAGATCATGTCTTCTAATACAACATCTCTAAACCTCGAGGCAATTCCTTTTGGCACGACAAAAGTCATCTGCGACACCTCTACGGGTAAATATCGACCTTTCGTTCCAATAGCTATGAGACATACAGTATTCGAGAAGTTACATAACTTGTCGCATCCTGGTGTGAGCGCTACTAGCAAACTAAGAGAAAGATTTGTATGGCCGAACATTAACAGCGACGTTAAGAAGTGGACACGAAATTGCTTGTCCTGTCAAAGAGTCAAAATCAACCGGCACACCAATGCACCACTTGGTCGCTTCCCTAACCCCGACTCTAGATTTGACCATGTACATGTAGACATAGTTGGTCCACTGCCTCCTTCCAATGGTTTCAACTATATTCTAACTTGCATTGACAGATTTACTCGTTGGCCAGTAGCAGTTCCATTAATCGACGTCTCAGCTGAAACGGTAGCTAAAGCTTTAGTCGAAAACTGGATAGCCAACTTTGGTGTCCCATCAATTATCACTACAGACAGAGGTGCCCAGTTTGAAAGCCGACTTTTTAACCAGCTAACTGAATTACTAGGCATTAAACGAATACGAACGACTGCATATCATCCTAGTTCCAACGGTATGGTTGAACGATTTCATCGACAACTCAAAGCTGCGCTCGCTGCTTCTTTGACTCAAAACGATTGGTCAAGCGAATTTTACTACACCGGTACTACTTGGTATACGAGCTGCTATAAAAAAAGATATTGATTGCTGCATTTCTGAGCTAGTCTATGGAACAACATTACGATTACCAGAAGAATTTTTCCCCCCGGGTAACCAAGTTCCACACGATATGACTGGTTACGTGCACCAGCTAAAACAGCACATGAAAGAGCTCAAGATATCACTTCCACGTCAGCAGGAACGAGCGTCATACATCCCGTCACAACTGACAGATTGCACTCACGTCTTTGTCAGGAGAGAGGGTGTGCAACGATCACTTCAACCCGCTTACGATGGCCCATTCAAAGTTCTAAACAGAAATGTTAAAGTTATCACGATAGAACGACTGAATAAAGCAGAAGCCATCAGTGTCGACAGGGTCAAACCAGCGTTCCTAGACGATTTCGAAGTCAACGATAAGGACCAGCTCAAGGAAGTGTCAACGCCTACATCCACGCAAGCTTCAACGTCGCCAGAGAAACCTGTGAAAACAACACGATCTGGTAGGCGAGTCCATTGGCCTAAACGTTACGTGCAAGTCATCAAAATATAACTTACTAGGAATTTTCTTTTGTTATTATCTTTATTCGTAGTTGTCATTTGACTACTCATATAACTGATTAATATTTTCATACATAAATCACGTCACTGCTATTTTAACATCGATATTTCCTACACTATTACATTTAATCACATTTCGCTTATTATTCACGTATCGTTTCCGTCTACAGATCCTCGGCCAATTTTATCGTCCCTTATATATTCTATTATGATTAGCAATCCTACTTTCCCTAGATTATCGCATTTATTATCGATTTTATTAACCGCATTAAACTGTTCATTTTTCAGCTTAATAAATCGCCTTCTGTGTACTATCGCTGCTATGTATTACGCTGACGCGTTATTTTCGAACACTTAAATGTATTTTTTTTTATATTTCAGTGTTCTGGTGAGGGAATTATGTAGTACCCCTATACCAACTGTAAACATGCTTTTTAATCTAATTTGTATACTTGTGTTATATGTTTACACAGACCGACTTTGTATGTACTTCGCAAACGTTTGTCAATTTACTGTTGAACATTACCTTGATACAATTTGGAAATCTAACTACGGCCATAGTACACTTTCGTACTCTTCCGCAAGTGCCTTTTGCTTTTACGTTGTGGGCGTCGAGTAGCCACAACCTCTATGCACATTAATAAACGTGAAGAAGTACTAGGAAATGTGTGTACGCCGATTTAGTCAAATAACACACGCAACATATCTTACACATCTTGATGAATTTTCAAAGCCCTACTTAATCTACTGTTTTTGTTTAATTAGTTTACATGTTTATGCTTGGTGTATGTAAAGGGGTTGCTTCACACCATACGAGTTCATCAAATATTTACAAGTGTGGTAAATAGAGACTTTTGTATGGCTTAAAGAGAAAAATAAATTTGCACTTCACGTAGTTTGAAAATACGTGTTTCTAAAAACATAAATGACCTGTGTGTAAAGAAGCAGGAATCAGCGAGATAATAGGAGTTGACGAATGGAGACTAAGTGATATCTATCACAGGTGAAAATACATTCATATCTTAGCCTTATTCAAACTTTGATCCATTTTTTAAAGCTAATAGTTTGAATAGCAGTAAACCTAATAAACGATTCCCGGAACAATCTTTAAAAACCTTTTGCCAAACAGATATTTTTCGTTTACTATTGCTATTGGAACAAACAACTCGCCACAACTGAAATAAACCTACGATACGATAGAACACTGTGTTACCTATTACATCTATTGAATCATACTATTTCTAATAGCGTAAAGTATTACTAAGAGACCGAAAACAAGCAGGTCTTGAACATAAAACGCAACAAAAGCCCAAAACCCATGTTGTAATGTCCATGTATATGATCAATAGCATACAATCAAGCTGATACAACTGAGTTCCGAATCTGTGTAACATAACATCTTCAAGTTTACTCTACAAAGTGTTAGTCATCCAACTTAGTATGCATACATAAATAGTGCACCTCAACTCCAAGGCCTATATTTGAAATTCGCATTCAATAAGAAGTTATCAACAGGGATATAACAACCATGAAGTATTATCTGCATATTTGTATATGCACATTACTACCTATTTATGGGTCGACATACCAAACATTTATCAGTAATCTAAACTAGCTAAGTTGTAACACTGTTATAATAGTTGCTTAATGCATTATGAGCCTCAAAAAAGGCACCCGGTTAAGATTACTAGCTGATATAGGTGCAGGTTGGAAGAGAGTAAGTGGTGGCCAAACAAAAACATGGCATCAATCCATGAAATCCTTGACAGTTAAACTGAGTCAGATAGGGAGATGCAGACTTCCGGGTTGGGGCCCTCGGGACTCCAGGAATCAATGGCTGGAGACAATAGGTGACATGGCTCGAAATCATTGTCAATGGCACAGATGTATTCAGTCTCTGTAATCTTTCATATTCCTTTCTACCATTACCCATTGTTTCGCTTTTATACCTGCCAAACTCTATTGATTATCTTCACTCATCTTCTTGTCTACCTTTGTGTGCTATTTGGAATGTGGCAACTCGAACTGCTGCACTTTGGTGCCAAGTTCTATGTTGAATCCAGAAAGACAGACCCGGTTAACAACGAAGAGATAATGACACATGAACCAAAATAACATACAGCCTCTTTGATAGCATTTTCAAATTGACTAGATAATGAAAAATGAAACAGAAAATAAGTTTAATTTAGCTTCCAAATTAGATATATTTAGAAACAAAGTTAACCTATTTACACTGGAATAAGCACTTGGTAAGATAAAACGAAAGTTTTTTAAGATTTAATCAAATGACCAAAAACAACAGATGTGTCAAAAAGCAAAGGGGATCTATACTACAACACACCTGAAAGATAGTATGTACAACCGAACAGTTAAAGAAATTTGACTGAAGGAAATAAGTACTACAAATTCATCCTAAAGAAGTGGTATATATTATCATTGCTCTGCAAAAATGTTCAAATGCTAGCGTATTTTGAAAGACAACTGAATGAGTGTGATTAATAGAAAAATGCATTTCTCGTACGCACCAATAATATCATTCAAGTACTTGAATTAAATGCCGTATGACTGAAACAAGCTAGAGCATCCAACTGTTTATCATCAACGAGAGAAAACCGTTTACTGAAGGCAAAAAAATGTCTAGCTAGTGTATTCATATGGGGGATTAACTCAAGTTGGTCTAAATGATTGAAGTGTGCAACGTACATATGGACAATACAAACAAGAATATTTTTACAAATGACGGATACATACTGAGGCAAATCAGATGGGAACTGCTCTCCATTTCTTATAGGAAATATACGAGGACACTGAATAAGATCATGACACGAAGATAGAACACCATCTATTGCCTGACGAGCCGAAATCCTACTATACTGAGCAATAGAGCCCACAATGAGACCCTTGCTTTTCTTACTTCGGTCATCTTCACCTTGTACACCCAATGGGCTTGTTGAAATTTCAAGCAGAAGAGAAGACACAATATTTTGGATTCCTGAATCTTTCAAAGATTCCCATAAGCTTGTGCAAACGCACAGCTCATAGACAGCATCAAATATTGTGCTAAGGTTATCGAATAGAGCAATAGTATGTGCTGCTAGCCATTCGTTGGTATCCATTGCTGGAAACGGCTCGACAACATCACAAAACTCCGGGTAAGATGAGTCCAAAGACATTGGTAATTGTTGTGAAACATAAAAGTTTTTCATATACATCGGTGTTTTGTTCGAATCCATATTGCTTTCTTTTTTCGTATTTAACCCCGGAGAATGCGGAGACTTATCGGTCAACTGAGATGGAACATTTATCGAAAGCGGAGAAGATGCACGTGAGCGTATCGTTAAGCTATTACGTGACTCACTGAAGGTGTAATCCTTAATAGGAATAGGAGAACGTCTGTTGTCATTTTCAGAAGTTGGAATGATGGTATTTACAGGCGATGTATCATTTGGAGAAGCACATGCGCTATTATGAACGATTGAAATTGGCTCTGTCACTGCTGAAGACACGACATTTGAAGGGGAATGCATAAACCCGCGACTTACTCCCCTTGCTTTACCCATTAACCAATCCATTTGCCTACCGTTAAAGGAAGCGGCACAAGAGCAAGTACATAAAATGAAAGTAAGGTCAAAATGTGATGTAGAAAAACAAACTTAGTTCTTTACTAAGAAACTCCTAGAACCGTATAAAAATTATTATTAAAAGACTTATTGATGGATTTAGACTTTAGGCATTCAACATGAACAAACGCACCAATGTTGCATACTAAAAGCGAGCCAATTAAACCATACAAATAACACTTTTGATTTGTTTGTGTTCTATGAGCTGGATGATCTGATTGCGAAGTTTCTGTGAACCTCCTAGACAGCATCTTGACTGAACATCTAAGTCTGAAGCGAAATATCTTCAACTATGTGTTGGAGACATAACCGTATCTCCTAACAATCTAAGTTGGGGCATCTTAAAAATCCCCTTGAGCCATATAAAAGGAAACACATTCGTCAGAAAGTTATTCTTTTCCGTGATGTTGTTCTCCAGCTGCACAACTACACACATTTATAAGCTTTATTTGTGAATGCTTGATCATCTGCCTATTTTTTCTACTTTTTCATGAAATTTTGTCATGTTTTATTCCTTTTTAGCTCAGACATGTGGCTGGACTTATCCGGCATGTTGGTTGAATTCTCGCTCAGTGAATTTTTTTGTCAATAGTTTTCAATAAAATTGTGTTATATGTTTTCCAGATTGATAGGAATTCTCATTTCCTGGCTAGTTATGTTGATGTCCGCGTCTTGTATTCTGACTGCGACACACTTTAAGCATATTGGTTGCAATGATTAGTGTTTAATGCGGAATGAGTCAAAACATCGCTATAATGAAGAAGGTGGGGTAGTTGGAGGGTTATATCATTTACACAAATAGTTTACTTCTTATAGAAGCTTCAGCTTTCGACATAGTTTCATTCGATGAAGACCGCGTCAAAATGTGGCTATTTTCGTGTGAAGAACAGCACTATTTGACAAAAGAATGCTGTCAGTACATGGAACCACCTATAAATGCTGACAGAACCTTCTTTGGGTACAGAAGTTATCTTGTAGATGTGTCTTTCACTGTATGTGTGTTTGGACAGGAATTATGGTAAGTTGAAAGGTTTTCTCTAAGTGGATTTAATGTGCATTTACACTGATTGGCGCAGTGTAATACGGGTTATGTGGATTCAATGTATAGAAGAAACCTCTATTAATATTGCGCCACTGTTTGCTTAGTTGACTGCTAGGCTAACAAATGTAGGTAGTTCTCGTGATTGTTGCAAGTGCAGTGCATTTGAGAAGGCAATAACTCGTTTGATTTTCCTCAGTGTTTCACTTAGTGTAATTATCCAGTGCGTACTAATAATATACACATGGTTTGTGTTGATTACGAGAATTGAATCTAGTTAGCTCTATTATTAGTAATCTACCGTCTGACGCTAAACTTAATACTGCAATGTTTTTGATCACCAGTAGTGGAGATGAATTTCTTCTGAAATTTCCATTTGCCTGAAGCGATAGAGATGCAGTATCACGATTGAATGTCTAGGTTGCATTATATTTCATTGTTATTCTCATCAACACAACAGGTCTGCGTATCTGACAATATTTTAAGTGTTTTTCTATGTTGTTAACACTGTGCATAGCTGCTTAGAGTTGAGGCGTGTTCAGCCCATATTTGGTGACTACAGATTCCTAAATATGAGAATGTTATTCTGTAGGATTCAGAAAACTATGCTCACCAGACATTACTGAGATTGTGGATCAATTTATAAGCTACATATTTGCAATACCTCATTTAACGTAGACGTATTTAGTGTGAAATTGACGAGAGAATGACGTCTCAGCAGTATGGGTGTTTCAGAGTTTATCTTGAAATTTGCGTGTAATCCTCTAGTGCTGGACAACTTATGAGGTCTATTTATGCATACGGCGTCAATATAAAGACCAGCTGTGGACTACAACTACTTTTAATTGTATGAGAACTTTACTGAGTATTAATATAATCAGTTTATACCAATATATAAAATTATCTTTCATAAATTCATGTTGTGCTTCATATTTTAGGTTTATGGAGGTTGTGGAATGTGAAATCAGCGGAAATGTCAACCTGTCAAACCAACGCTAACACCATTCATCAAAATTTTCTCTAGTAAACTAAGAAAATGTTTAATATACTCTTCATTTCTACTTCTTATGAACGTCTTCAGTGCGTGGCTATACTATGAGCTTTCGTAATATGTGAATTCTGATTAGTGTATGTTAAGCTTAGTGGAATGCAGATTACTATATTATTTGAGACTGTTACTTTAATCATTCGTAGGATTTCATGTCTGTTTCTATACAATTGCACATTGTAAAAACTAAGTAGTATTTAGCAAGTTGAGTAATAATTCCGTAATTTTCGTTACGCTAAAGTCGCCTTATTTAGCCAATTGCAAATATGTATACTGCTAAACGGCACGTATGTTGTACAAGTAAATTAGGGTTGATAGCTACTTCATGAACCAGTTAATACGCAGTGGCATCATCGAATAGACCATTTACTTGGCCATGAGCAAAGAAACAATTTTGATTCATTTCTGATATGCCGTTGAATCACGTGATGTCATCCAATATCCATCATTTCTATGGTCAACAACTGCAGTGTTTGAATATCTACTTTGTTAAGTATGCTGATGATCTAACTATTTCAGTGTCCGTCAACTTCCAGCTAAACGGTACTAAAATGAACAGCTTTCTATCAGAAATTAGCAAATGGTCTTCGTCTAACGGCTCTAAACTAAATCCTTCCAAATGTCAGGCAGTTAATTTCAGTTTTAGATGTAAAAGAAACTTAAATGAAACTGTTAATTCCCATTACCGTTGTGTAACTAATGATAGTGATATAGAAACCAAGTCTGACTTTAGGTATCTTGGATTAATTGTTTCTTCTGACCAATCCTGGTCTTCCCATGTCTTAGCGATTTCTAAATTTATTATTTCGTCTGACTGTTCACATTAAGAAGTTAAGGCACTCAAGCATAACTCATCCCCTCCTCTTACAGTTTGTCAGTTCGTGGATCTTACCTATAATTTACCTGTTTTTCTTGCTTTAATCATAATGTAACCGTGTTTCGCAGAACTCATCACACAGCGTATCAGCCTTAAATGTATACCAAATGCAGGTATAATGCTCATGAGCTAGGTATGCAAATCAAAGTAAACGTTTGTAGGGTACATTCATTATTTATAAGACTAACTATTATGTAAGAGCTACGATTTTACCAGTCATACAACGTTTAATATATTTGGAGAGAACTAACCTACGCTGCTTCCTTCTATGACGCATTACCTAAACCTAAGTAGTTACCTTAAAGTGGTCTCCGCTGAAGGTAAACTCCCATAGCTACTACCTTAGTGAGCAACTTAACGTTATCTTCTAAGTTCAAAGTAAAAGCGGACATCCTGGGAACCTTCTTAGTAAAAGGATCGTCTCCTAGTCGGAAAAATGAATATATCCTAATCTCCACGAAAGCGTTTGGAGGTATTCATCCTATATCCTCAGATGACTCACTATTTGCATTCACTTAAAAAGTAAGAATAAATTTACCGAAGACAGTGTGCTTATGACTTATAGATATCATAATGTACCATGAGGGTAAACCTTTATCCAAAGGGTTATAACAGTTACAAGCGCGATATCAATCCGAAACACGACGACTACGATTCTCAATAACAGAAAATCCTACTTTGCAACCTAATCTTCAATTACAGGATGACTCCTAGGCACTCACTGAGTTTTCGGATAATCTGATGACTTACAAGGATGCATTGATTTCTATGAATTGCATGAGTGACCTCAACTCGAGTTTTATACTAGAAGTAATAGCAAGACGCCTACCTACTCGACTGCAAAGGTAGTGGGTGAAGTTAAGCTCCCGTATGGAGGATGAGCGTATCGAGCCAAAGTTTGATGATATCCTGAAACTGGTAAAAGATAGCTGTCAATGCAGTTGAAGATTGAACGATCAATTCATGGTTGTTTGCTCAAAACCAACTTCCCCAATTCTCGCGGAGGCATCAATACGACAGTCATCATCTCATCGGTCGCTGTTCAGAAAGAAGTCAGCAGAAAATCGTCAGAAGTGATATTGTGATTTATTATTGTAATATTTGTTCACAGACCTTAGTTTTGAAGTTGGCTATATGTTGGTGTTACAATAAAGAATCCTCGAGTCGCCAATCGGTGTTTTGGTTTTTGCGTCCGTTATTACTAAGCATTTCTGAGAAACTTCAAGGGACAGCGTGAGTCCCAGCGTAGCAAGCGCTGGGCATTGACGGTTTACGAGACGTGGCTGACAGCAACCAGGCATGAAAACAACGTGTGAAACAATTGTAATGAAATGAATGCACTGCCCTGGTGGTAAAAACTTCCAAACATACGGAATCAGTAATTTTAACAGTAACGGAAAATAATGAGGTGAAACGCAACATTTGTGAACAATGCGCATCAAGATGAATTGTGCATAAATGCAGGATAAACGGGAAAACCGAAGTGTGAACGAACGGCTAAGGAAATGCAGTTCAACATGGCCGACTAACATGGACGAAAACGACCTTTGAGCGTCTCGCTCCGTCAATGACCTTGAACATGCTGGATAATTTCAGTCCAATATGTCCTTCATGAAGTTTCAAGTAAGTTCATCTTTTATTAACGTTGGAATAAGGATATGGTCTAGATGGGCAATTGAATCACTGAGACTAGTGAGGTTCAGTGATATTAAACAGGGTATGTGAAAAGTTTGTGGATGGTTACAGGGAGACATATTTCAGCTTAAGGCTAGGGTCTGCCCAGGATAGTTGAGGATAAGAGATGCGTGAGGAAGAAACCTGCATCCTCTAGCTCAGCTGCTTGTTTCAAGGGGATTGATGCGATCGTGTCTCTTAGACGAATCAGCCTTTATTGTGCCGAATTTGTGTCTGCTTCTTGCTGGTTGACTTCCTAAGACCTCGCTGTTTAAGTCATGTTTACTCTGTAATAGTTATCTTAAGGTTATAGG